GTCCCAAGTATATACACATCTATCTTTATGCCTACTTCCCAAGGTAATGGGAGTATAACAATAAAGAACCCAACCCAGGGATAAAATAGAATTCTAAGACAATTCATTGGAGACTATGAATAGACAGTACCATAGGCTTAAGATTAAGGTTTGCTTGATAACTGGCCAAGAAACGTAGCTAAAGTAAGCGACAAGTGCGAAAGATGAATGAAATGTCATTGCCCTGAGCCAAAAACATCCTGGCAGAAATGCATCTGCGTTTATGTACATGTTTTGGGATAGGACTGTGTTCAAATTCTGGTTCTGCCAATTACTAGCTGTGTGACTTTGTATAACCCCTCCAAATCTTAATTTCTGCATCTGTAAAGTGGGATGTCCCTCCATTTCTCTATCCAAAAAATAATTATTGATATATTAATAGTACCTACACTTCACTGGTTGCTGTAAAGATAAACTACATGTAAAGCACCTAGAACAGGACCTGGTACTATGTAAATACTCAATAAATATTGCCTATACTAAGCACTAGCTCCTATTGCTATTAGAACCACTACTATAATTCTCTAACTAGTACTAACATCACAAACTCCATTACCACTCCTACAGAGAGAGAACTGCTTTTTCAGGACTCTACAGAAAATTCTTACCAGATGATTGAGATCGCTAATCCTTGAGTCCAAGAGGATATTTCACATACCCAGAGGCTGTCTGTAGTGGTCTCTAGTAAATAAATTCAAGCTTCATGGATGGTATACATGTGACATAAGCTATATATAAGACACACAAGCTTAATAATATTAAAACTTTAAAAATGGTATATGATTTGAATTTTTCCCAAAATCTACATCAATGTACAGCCTAATAATTATTCCCAAAGCAATTATACTCCAATAAAGATGTTAAAAAAGAAGATAAAGATACCAAAAAATATATATATTCCTAAGGGGGAAAACAACAGCAATTTTAATTAAATGCTTGATATTCTAGGGTCCAGATACTCTTTTAAGTGACTTATCTAAGGTACTATTATTTTTACAGTGAAGAAATTAAAGGACAGAGCATTAAGTAACTTGCTTAAGATTACACTGTTAAATAAGTATACCCAGGCAATATGACTTCCCATCTAGTGCTCATAAACACTACACTGTACCGTTTCATTAATATTCCTATGAAAGCAACTGTAACAAATTGCTAAGTAGTACTATCCTTATTCTTACACTTAGCAAAGGAAAGAAGTCCTTTCAATAGAAGATTCTGGTACAGAATCAAACCATATACCCACAAGTAGCCTCATAAATGATAATATACTATTAATTAAAATATGTTTAAGGTATATCCTTTTTGAAGAACAGGCAGTTGCTGACTACTTCTAGTCTAGTAGGAGTCAAAAAGTAGAAAGCTTTGTTTAATTGCTTTCATTACCACACAACCATAATTAGTTTCACGCTTATGAATTTAATCTTACATGTTAATTATATCTGCAATGATTCTGAGAATGCAAAGAAGTTAACTAATGAAAAATAACTGCCTTGAGGATAGATGCTTTAAGCATATAAATGATCACAAAAAGAAAAAACTGTCCCCAATTTCAATAACTTTCAGAATGCCTCCCCACATTTAAATCTCTCATGGTATTGGTCAATGGAACATCAATACCAAGCAAAACCATGTCAGAAGTTTAAGGAAAATTTTGCACTTATTTAAAAATTCATTCCATATGTCTCTGATTTAATTTACTCTTCAAAATCTAAACTTGTATAAACATAGACAAATATTCATGAATGACCTTGATTACAATTAAATTAAAAATAAAGGTAACAGACTTCCACATCCAGCGGTATGTTAGGATAAGTAAACTGACCAAAGCTCCTGCTAAAAAGAAATAAACACAGTGGTTAAAATACCAAAAAATGTTTTCTTTAATTGTATCACTGAGTCAGCAATTTAGAACTGATTATAGAAAGGCAGAAAAAGAAAAGAGAGCTGGAACTCAAAGAATAAACAGAGCACTGAAGCTGGGTTTTGCAAAACTTGAGCTTCTTTTAACATTTCTATAGACATAAAGGGTCACTACATAATGGGAAAAAAGAAGAAAATTACCTAGAAGATAGGAAAGTTCTAAACTTGTATGAAAGAGGTAAAACAGTCTCAAGTTATATACAGTAAAAATTTAAAGGATTACTAGCAGAAAAGACAAATCTACCATTAAAACTGCTTTGAAAATGGAACATTTACAAAAATTGACCAAATACTGGGCTAAAAAGGAAGTTTTAACAAATTTCAAAAATTTGGTATTTTTCCTCTGGTCACAATACAATTGTGCTAGAAATTAATAATAAAACATTCTTACTTGTTTGGAAATTTAAAATACACTTTTATACAACTCACGCCTCAAAGAAGAAATAATGGGACTTAGAAAATAACATGAAAATATATAAATTAGCCAAGTTGTTCAACTGTACTATATAACAACATAATATATACTAATAAAGCACTTTAATTCTTGTAAACTAATTTATTTAACAGCCTGCAGTTTGTCTGGCTTTAGTTTTTTATAATTCATAAGAAGAATACTTGATTAGCACAGTATAATCATGTATGCTAACTATAAAAATGTGACCAATATTTTTTCATTAAAATAAATTATGTTCTTGGTCGAAACAATAAGTGCATCCCAATGTTCACTGCAGCACTGTTTACAATAGCCAAGACACTATTTACAATAGCCAAGACATGGATGCAACCTAAATGTCCATTGACAGAGGAATGGATAAAGAAGATGTGTTACATATATACAATGGAATATTAGCCGTTAAAAAGAATGAAATAATGCCATTTGCAGCAACATTGATGGACCTACAGACTGTCATATTGAGTGAAGTAAGTCAGACAGAGAAAGAGAAATATCAGATGATATCCCTTATATGCAGAAATATCAGATGATATCCCTTTTATGCAGAATCTAAAAAGAAATGATACAAATGAACTTATTTACAAAACAGAAGCAAACTCCCAGACTTGAGAGGAAGAACTTATGGTTACGGGGTGGGAGGGAATGACGGGGGGAAGGGAGAGTCACGGAGTTTGGGATCAACAGGTACACACTGCTATATTTAAAATGGATAACCAACAAGGACTACTGTATAGCACAGGGAACTCTGCTCAATGTTATGTGGCAGCCTGGATGGGAGGGGAGTTTGGGGGAGAATGGGTACATGTATATGTATGGCTGAGTCCCTTTGCTATGTACCTGAAACTATCACAACTTGTTAATCAGCTATACTCCAATATAAAATAAAAAGTTAAAAAAAAAAAGTCTGGAAACAATCCAGATGCCCATCAACAGGGCACTGATTAATAAACCATGGTACACTTCCCCACCAAAATAAAATAAATTTATTTATTACGTTAAATACAATTATTTATTTATTATTAGTAAAATAAATTATTTATTTATATTTATTTATTATAATTATTTATTTATTATGCTCTACCTTACTTTATATTTATTAGGAAGCTTCCTTGACTAGGCTATCCCAAGGTATTACCTGTTTGAGTTAGTCTGTCATCTTAAAATTTTCCATCTTGAAGATATACATTTATCATTCTTTGAGTCCAATGTAAATGTCCTTCAAAAAAAAACTTTTGACAAATTGCATACATGCATTTAAAGCACCCTTGATTCCTGAACGCTACAGAAAGAATGTTTATGTACCCCCAAAATTCATACGTTAAATCCTAATGCCCAAGGTGATGGTATTTGGAGATGGGGCCTTTGGGAGGTGATTAGGTCACAAGGATAGATAGAGCCCTCATGAATGGGGTTAGTGACCTTCTAAAAGAGACCCCAGGGACTTCCCTGGTGGCACAGTGGTTAAGAATCCACCTGCCAATGCAGGTGACATGGGTTCAAGCCCTGGTCCTGGAAGATCCCACATGCCGCGGAGCAACTAAGCCCGTGTGCCACAACTACTGAGCTTGTGCTCTAGAGCCCGTGAGCCAAAACTACTGAAGCCCACATGCCTAGAGATCACGCTCTGCAACAAGAGAAGCCACCACAATGAGAAGCCCGTGCACTGCAACAAAGAGTAGCCCCCGCTTGCCCCCCGCTCGCTGCAACTAGAGAAAGCCCGCCCACAGCAACAAAGACCCAATGCAACCAAAAAAGTAAATTAAATAAAAAAATAAAAAATAAAAGAGACCCCAAAGAGCTCCCCTGAACCTTCTGCCATGTGAGAACAAAACGTGGAGACAGCTGCTATGAACCAGGAAGCAGATTCTCATCAAACACGAAATCTGCTAGTGCCTAGATTATGTGACTTCCCAGTCTCCAGGGCTGTAAGAAATAAAGGCTTGCTGTTCAAGGCACCTCATGTATGGTATTTTTGTTGTAGCATCCTGAAGAGACTAAGATACTGAATAAATTCCAATTTTCTCTATATTCAAAAACTAGCTATAAAACTTGGCAAGAATCAAAGAATCATTTGAAAAAAGTTAGGAAAATAACATTAAAAACCAGAACCCTGAATTGTAAGTGTTTAGAGATATACTGGATATGTACTTGGATTAAAAAAACTTGTGTTGGAACCCACACCACTGTGTTTCCCACTTTAAATGGCTAATTCTGGTAATGTTCAATCCAAATTCATATGCTGAACTGAAAATATGAAGGCCTGATCTGTATTTTGAATCACTGAATCCAAGGATGTTGTCTGAAAGCCAAATACTTTCAAAAATGGTAGCCTAGTGTGCCTGATAGCACATCTTTGAAAAACCAAGGAGAATGAGAACAAGAAGTATTTGATGTGTAGATACTGACTCTTAGCTCCCCCAAACAGAAATTAACTTAAACTAGCTTAAGAAGAAAGAGAAAAAATGAATTCATTATAAGGATATAGAGGTGCCTTCAGAAACCCTGGAGCAGACTTCAACAAGGGCTGGTCGAGAAACTTTGAGAAGCCATGAGAGACTCAGGCAGTGAACCCTCTCGTGATTCTCACCAGTCTTCACTCCACATGTCTGCATAATTCTCTCCTCCTTTGAACCAGCTTTCTGTGTTCTCCAGTCTGCATGGCATAAAATATGGCTACTCAAAGCCCTTGAATTTACAAGTTAAAGAGACTAATTACCTTCCCCTTGTTCACAATTCCAAAATCCAGGGGATAGAACTTGGTTTGATTCCAGCTTGGTATAGGTGCCTACTCTGGTCTAATCGGGTGGAAAAGGCCACACTGCTTCAACATGGCTGCCCACAGACCACTGCTTGGGTGGTCAGGGGTAGCTAAAAGTGCTGTTGTGTTAGAAACTGTAAAAGGCACTCAGCATAAGCAAGAAACAAGCGCTGTGCATGAGCAACATGCTTTCTGATGGAATTTTGTATTGCTCTGTGCCTGGTAGGCAGGTGTCAAGTTGGATAATCAAAGTTGAAGACACTGCCTGAGGTCTTGGGTAGGGGGATGGGATACTAATTGGGCTCAGACAAAGAGGTGGAGGGCAGATTTCCTCAAGTAACAAGAGTGTACAGCAGAGAGAAGTGTGGCCAGCACTGCCCCAAGAAGCTGACAGGTCATGTTTGAACCTGACCCTCCAGTTTCTCTGCATTTGGCTAGGGGAGAGAGACTTCTGACAGAACTGCTGAGCTCCTTCTCCCTGGAGCCTTTACTAAATACCTTGAGTTTTTGTTGCCTATACTAAACAGTCTGCCTGGCCTCAACTCACATAATTTGATACATACTATTTATATTATGTTGACTACACAGATATCTAAATAAGTAAAAGTTAGTATAGCAAAAGGATCTTGCTCATCTCTCAGGTAAAGCATAACTGTCCACCCATTCGCTCAGCCTATAAATCCTAGCATAATCCTCTATCTCTTCTCTGTCTCCTTCCTGCTTATTTATCGATTCTTACTCTGAAATATCTTTTTAATCAGTCCCCTCAATTCCATCAACAATACCATAGTTTTAATTCAAGATATTTATGTATGTATGTATGTATGTATGTATGGCTGCATTTGGTGTTCGTTGCTGCGTCTGGGCTTTTTCTCTAATTGCGGCGAGCAGGGGCTATTCTTCATTCCGGTGCACGGGCTTCTCATTGCGGCAGCTTCTCTTGTTGTGGAGCACAGACCCTAGGCACGTAGGCTTCCGTGGTCGCAGCTCACGGGCTCCGTAGTTGTGGCTTGCGGGCTCTAGAGCACAGGCTCAGTAGTTGTAGTGCACAGGCTTCGTTGCTCCGCGGCATGTGGGATCTTCCCGGACCAGGGCTCAAACCCATGTTCCCTGAATTGGCAGGCAGATTCTTAACCACTGTGCCACCAGGGAAGACCCTTAATTCAAGATCTTACTATCTCTTTTCTGAATTTTTAGAAGAGCCTCCTAATTGACCCTTCTGCCTCCAAATGTCCAATATATTTTGTACTAGCTTCAATAATTTCCATTTTAAAGCAAAATCTTGTCCTTGTCACACCCCTGCTTATAAACTGCTGATAGTTCTTCACAGCAGCAGAGGTCCCAAGCATGTCTGTACATCAGAACCACTTAGATCCCTACCCCTCATCCTAACCTTTCTAAATCAGAATCTCTTAGAATGGGGCTTAGGAATTTGCCTTTTTAACAAACTCCCCTCTTGATTCTAAAGTAACCAGCCCAAAATCAATCTCTGGGTTTGTGTTATGGAAAGTCCAAGACTCTCTGAACAGAATACAAGTCAATTCACAACCTGAGTTCAATCTCTTTCTAGTCTCATCCCCTGCGACTTTCCCTTCCCAGCCTTATTCACAACACACAACCCTTTCATATTACTAGGCGTCCACACATTCTGCCTTCTTCTCTTCTCTACTTAGGGATCTTCTACTCATTCTTTAGGAATCAATTCAAATATGAACTCTTTCGTGAAGCCTTCCTTGACTGCCTCTGGCATTTATCCATTCTTAATTACAGAGTTTAAGAGGCAGTCTAGAGGTCGTTAAGAGTATAGGCTCTGCAGTCAGACTCCAAATGTTTGAATCCAGGTTCTGCAAATTATTAATGAGTAAGTGAGTGACTCAGGGCCTTGGACAAGTTACTCAACCTCTCTGTGCTCAGTTGCCGACACTATAAAATAGGAATAATAATACTGTAAGGTTAATGAGTTAATACATGTAAAGCATTTGCCTGGATCATAGCAAATGGTCATTAAACATTAGCTTCCTGTTTAGAAATTATTCATATCACTTAGTCTATGAACCAGTCTTTTATATTAAGTCAATCAATTTAAGAGCTCTCTTTCTTAGCTGTGGTACAAAACAAAAAAAAGAGGGTAATTTATATATAAACTTCAATGAAACTTCATTTACTTCTCAAAAGGTGACTGAGGATGATGCACTAAACCTATTTAAGGGAAAAAAAGGCATTTATATGGGAAGGATTGTCTTTTGAAGTCATTCACTAGGGAAGCAGAAAAAACTTAGAAATCTTAGATACCTATTTGAATTTCAAAAAAGAAAGCGAATATTAAGCCTAGCTTTCAGCCATTATTTTTTAAATATATAGTAAGAGAACTTAAAAATCTGGACTAAATTCTCACACAGCAAAATTTCCATTATTTATAAAACTAAAAATTTAGCCAAAAATATATTTCAAGAAATCCTATAGGTCTTCAAAATAATTAGAAACAGTACAAAAACTTTTTATGAATCCTGCCTTTTCTCTAATTACTAAAGTAATGTCTGAAATGGAAAAGATAGAGTGAGGGAAAAATTTGGCCATTTCCAACAAAAGAAAAATTATGGTTATGCAAGGTGAGAAGTAAATAGGAAAACTGTATTTGTGCTCAGATGCATCCTCTGTAATGTTACTAGATGCATTCTCATTTTGTCTTATTTTGCTTCTGAACTATCAGCTATTAAGAAAGGGTAGAAACAAGATACAGTGATCTGGAAACAGGAGTCAGCTCTTCTTCCACAGAACACATTTCTCCTTGGACCTCTTCATTCATTCAATAAATATTTACCCAGCACCTACTATTATACATATTTGGACACAGCAGTAAACCAGAGAGCCAGGCATGTGTGATGCCATTCCTATGGCGCTTATCATAGGAAGAGCCTCTACATTTCAACAAATCCAGCGCACCTTATACACCGCCATGAAGAACAGACGGCTCCACCTCCAAATTATCACCATTAGTGACCCCAGAAGATAAAATCTACCTTGCTCCCAGACTTCCAGATCATGGATTTTTAACCTAGGTTCATGGGTCCCTAAAGGTTAATGAATGAGTTGGGGGAATCTGTGAACCCTGTACAATCACATGCAAAATGTGTGTATGTATACACGTGTGTGAACTTTCCTAGACACACAATGTGATTTCACTATATTCTCAAGCGGGCCTATGACCCCCAAAGTATAAACCATCACTGTTCTAGGCACAGGAAAATTCCTACAGGTCTGTCCTACTGAAAAGACTGCTGCCATATACCAACACAGACGGCAGTTGGCAAATTCTCACCTGACATTTTGTAGCACAATATTCAACAATTTTATTGACAAGTTACATTTTACTCATCTAAATTCCATCCTCTAATGTTCTGAGTACCAGCAATCTAGTCAGTCTGTTAGACAAAGACTTCTTCCAAAAAAACTGTTTACAGAACTTGGGCTCCAGCAACTCTTGCAATATAATTCTTGTGTATAACTGAACCACAGAAAAATAACTCCTTAATTTGTGGTTAGAATAACCACTGCAGAACAACCTACGGTGGGTGGCATGAAACTATCACAATTATAAAGTAACCAAGCAAATAATATACTATGTCTATAACAGATAAAATGTTATAAATCCAAAACATACATTGCTATAAATAAAGTCTCTGGTTATTTGCTGAGATACTCTGACTAACATGGCAGTGACAAGGGCTACTCTTAGCTTGTTTTATAAAGGAGCAACTAAAGCTATTTGACAGTAGACTCTGTGGCACCACATGTATTGTTTGGGCTAAGAAATGAGGTGAACTGCACGGTATAGTAACTTTGGGAAAACGCTGCCTTTAATATAAACAAACAATGGACTTTCCTTTAGAAGCCATGATAAGGGAGAGGAGGGCAGCGGGATTAGTCCTACAAAATCAGCATGCCTGCAATTTGGGAAACCATGAATAAAAGCAGTCAGTGTGTCTAAATGCCTATTTGTTGACAGCTGTAATCAGATCATTTCCCCCCAAATTAAAATCATAGATTTTAGAGTTGGTAAGGCTGTAAAAAGATCTACAAGATGATGGGACTGAGGACCAAAGACCATGCGTGACTTGCTCAAGTTCACAAACCAAAACAGAAAGAAACTGAGTGTCCTGACTCCCTTACTCTGCCATCTCTTTTTCAGGAAAGACTATTGTTCTGCGATTGCATTTGCTCGGGATTCCAAATAACTTGATTTGGGGAGAGAGGAGGAGCCTCACCTAGCTTTTTGGCAGGTGACATAAGGCTTTTGGGTCTTTTACCTGGCAGGGAGAGTTGGCCAAGTGAGTAATACACTATTTTTATAAAAAAAGCATGGCCAGCATGAAAATCTAACTTTAGGTACAATGTGACTCCTTTTAAAAATTGCCCATTAGGGTAAATCAAAGGGGAACAGGAGGTTAGAAATGCAAATTCTAACGTGTAGCCCCAGAACCACACCTTGAAAACCAGTAGGGCAATGGAATGTTCTGTTGGCCAGCTGCCCACTGACATTTATAAGGAATTCCAGAAGACACTGAGTACCGGCAATTCTCATAAGACAGTATGGTCTTTTGACCTGGGCTCCCAGAGGCCCTTTCAGAGTACTTATGAGGTGAACACTTGTCATAATGCCTCTAAGATATTACTTGGCCTTTTCCACCATTCTCAAGGAAACACTAGATTTTCTAACTACATAACTGAATGAAAAGAAAGCAGAAGCCTATGAAAACCTAGGTTTATTTATTATTATTCAAGAGATCCATGTCAGTTTCTAATGTAATCATGAATTATAATGATGACTGTATTAAAAAAATAAAATATAATTCACATACCATATAATTCACCTATTTAAAGTAAGCACTTCAGTG